GCTGAGCCTGTGCGTCCGGAGCCTGTGCTCCGCAATGGGAGAGGCCACAACAGTGAGAGGCCCGCGAAAAGCCCAAAACAAAAAAAAAAAAAAAAAAAAAAAAAAAGCACTGATTGATTGGTTATATATGAAGAAGGTCAAATGCCTATGAGGTGGTTTGATATAAGTCTCCGACCAATATAGATCCCTATCAGATGCTTGACAATCCACCTGGATATCTATTAGGTATCCCGTATGTACCACACTGAAGTCAGAATTCTTGATTTCTTCTACCTCAAAACTGTTCTAACCCCAAATCTTCTCCTTTTAATAAAAGCATCACTAGCTACTCAGTGGTGCAAACACAAAACCCAGGAGTTATCCTTAATTCTTTCCGTTTCTTCCTGCCTTCCCTCCCTCATCAGCAAGTCTAGCTGACTTTACTTCCAAAATACAGCCCAATTCAACCATTCCTCTCCATCTCCTGTTAGTACAAGCCACCATCATTTCTTGCCTGGCTTAACCTCCTGTAGAGTCTCATCCCTTCCACTCTTACCTCTCTCCAACCCATTTTCTGTTTTGCAGAGTGATCTTTACAAAATGTAAAATGGGTCACGCTACTCCTTGGCTTGAATCCCCGCACAAGTCTCCCCTTCACATTTCCATGTCACGACTCCTTACCATGACTGTTAGGGCCCTACTTGTTCTGACTCCAGTCTCTCTCTTCATCACTATGCTCCCACCACACTCTCTTCTTTCTTTTCTTTAACAACCCCTTCCCTGCCTCAGGCCCATTGCACTTGCTTATTCTCTCTTCTCAGAATGTTTTTTGTCCAGCCTTTGCATGGTTGGCACTTTTTCACTGCACAGGTATTAGCAAAAATATTACCTTCTTAGAGACACTTTCCTTTACCATCCAATATTACTCCAGTGTAGTCTCTTCCTAGCACCTAAAATGCACAGACTAAAATTATCTAGTTGACTTATTATATTTATTATATGTTGCCCTGCCAGAATGTAAGCTCCCTGAAAGCAGGGCCCTTGTCTGGCTTTTCTGTTTGTCCCTGCCTCCCTAGCATCTAGGACAGGGCCTGGAATATCACAGCCTCTCAATAAATCTTTTATTGCAGGAAAAGATAGTGAATGAGGACAAACCGAATATCATCAGTTACTCTCTCTGGGAAGTGTTTACTATGAGAAGCATGTTGAGACATCATCAGAGAGTAAAAGACGCTTTCTTTTAGATGACAAGATAACTGGATTACTAGAGCTGTTGATCCCTGAAAAATGATGATCCATTGTCCAGTTCTCCATGAGGCCATCAATATAGTAATGTAGGGGAACTAGAGAGATTAAATGGCTGCTGACAGTCTCCAGACCTTCCCCATGTATCCTTACAATAAACCCCATAGACTAAGGCAATACCCCAGAGGCAGTGGAGGTAAATGTGTACCCGTAGGAGATCTGAGGTACGGCAGACTCCTGAAGATTTTAAAATTTCTTTAGTCTTCTATTTTGTCTTAACATTTATACAAATTTGGGGTTCAGTATCATAATATATCTACGAATTTAAAGCATTTGTATGTTAACATATCTATCTGTATTTATGTTAACATACGAATGCTTTAAATTATTTTACCATTTGTAAAATCTGTGCTGCAGGAAAGCTACGCTTTCCGGGGTCTTTACATTCTCTGTGGCAATCATACCTCAGGGATACATTTTTGCAGTCTGAGAAGTTCTGGCATTTTTTTTCCTTTGCAACCCAAGTACTCTTTTAGCACAATTAATTCATTCTTCAGTAAATATTTATTGAACATCCACTATATGCAAGACACTCTAAAAGGACTAAGGATACAACTGTGAACAAGATATGCATGACTCCTACCTTCATGGGAGTTACAGTTTAGGGAGAGAGAATGAGAAAAAAAAGAGGAAATAAAAATATATTGTGGGACTTCCCTGGTGGCACAGTGGTTAAGAATCTGCCTGCCAATGCAGGGGACACGGGTTTAAGCCCTGGTCTGGGAAGATCCCACATGCTGCGGAGCAACTAAGCCTGTGCACCACAACTACTGAGCCTGCACTCTAGGGCCCACGAGCCACAACTACTGGAGCCTGTGCTCTAGAGCCCGTGAGCCACAACCACTGAGCCTGTGTTCCAGAGCCCGCGAGCCACAACTACTAAGCCTGTGCTCTAGAGCCCGCAAGCCACAAATACTGAGCCCGCGTGTTGCAGCTACTGAAGCCCATGCGCCTAGAGCCCGTGTTCCGCAACAAGAGAAGCCACCGCGATGAGAAGCCCACGCACCGCAACAAAGAATAGCCCCCAATGGCTGCAACTAGAGAAAGCCTGCACGCAGCAACAGACCCAACGCAGCCAAAAATAAATAAAATCTAAAAAAAAAAAAAAAGAATTAAAAAACATATATTGTGATGTTTGCTAAGATAAGGAAGGAAACTCAGGATGACAAAATGTAAAAAAAAATGGCACCTAACCCCGAAATAGGTGATGAGGACTTATTTTCCAGAATGAAATAATCTGAAAAACAAGCAGAAGTTAGCCAGGTGAAGAATGGGGGAGAGTATTCCTGGCTTGGTTTAGACTAAGCCCTGGAGACCAGAGAGAGCATAGAATTTATAGGAGCCAATTCAGTTGTGTTAGTTTAGTGTGGCTGGAGTAGGGAGTGCAGAGGAGAAAGAGAAGAGAAAAGCTAGAGAGGTAATCAAGGCAGGATATGAAAGGCCTATGCTAAGGACTTTTAATGTTACCCAAAGGAAATAGAAAGTCACTGAAAGTCCGAGAGGGTCATCTTAGGAAGAACTGACTTATGTGTTTTTTAAAAAAGATCACTCAGGGACCATAACTCTGTGTCTGGAAAAGAACAAGGACTCACTTACATTCGGGTAAGAGGTGTAATTAGGAAATTTGGAGCCCCAAACTAATTGAACTGAGTCACCATCTTAATCTTTTCCCCTTAAAAGTATCTCTTTTCCCCCCAAATAACCACTAATCGTCTTTGGAACTAATCAACCTTCTCTGGCCTCTTCACTGTCTCTGGACTCCTAACTTCATTGCTGGGATTATAGCATTCCCTCAAGGAACAAATACTTTCCCAGCATGCAGCAACACACAAAGCACATGTGATTTTAAAGGCTAACATATTGAGGCCTTCCTATTTGGCATTCTCCATCTGATATGCTAGTGGAGGCTACTACTAAATTTTTCTCTGTGGAAACAGGAAGTCAGGAAAGGATTTGAGGAAGTTTGGGCAGGTTAATGATTATAACGGGAAAAGAATACAATTATAGTACTGAGGTGTTTCAACTCACTTGGTCATTCACTAAAAAACCCTTCGCTTGAGTTTTTCCGTTGGTCAGGTGGAGATGAAGACGCTGTGCAGGCTTCCAGGGGTAGAACCACTTAGACAGAGAAGGGTACTTTGGTAGTGCAGTGGCTAAGCCAAGGAATAAACCTGCACAACGCTGACCTACAGGTATTTGATGGGAACATTATCTAAAGCTGCTAGATATTTAGAGCAAGTGTTCATTTTTAGATAAGGAGCTGGTATGATGCCCATATAGCATTCAGAGCACATGGGCTGTTATTCCCTCTGTGGTCATTTTCTTGAAACCCTCTATCTCTCTTTTTTTTAAAAAATAATATTCTTTTTTCTTTTTTTAAACCCCACATTTGTTTATTTATTTATTTTTGGCTGTGTTGGGTCTTCGTTTCTGTGCGAGGGCTTTCTCTAGTTGTGGCAAGCGGGGGCCACTCTTCATCGCGGTGCGCAGGCCTCTCACTATCGCGGCCTCTCTTCTTGCGGAGCACAGGCTCCAGACGCGCAGGCTCAGTAGTTGGGGCTCACGAGCCTAGTGGTTCCGCGGCATGTGGGATCCTCCCAGACCAGGGCTCGAACCCGTGTCCCCTGCACTAGCAGGCAGACTCTCAACCACTGCACCACCAGGGAAGCCTGAAACTCTCTGTCTCTTGCTCTTTCAGAATTTGGGGGCTAAATATCTGTCAGTTAAAAATAGGTAGTTTACCAGCTGTAAGAATGACGACACCCAGCTTCCCAACTCCTTTAGGATTTTTCTGGTCTGTGGGTGAATGTCATTACTGAGCAAACCAATCGCGCGAGATGGGTATGAGAGAGCTCACAACAAATGCTTACAACGAAGGGCATCACAGACTGAAAACTGAACAGGATGAGAGGACACACAAGCATTTCCTTTTCCTGTCTCCATGTGACTCTGGACCGGGGTGGGGGGGGACACAAGACGTTTAAAACCAGGACAACTCCAGAAGGAAAGGCCATTAGCTATTCCACTGCAATTCCCTTCAATGCTGTTTCCTTACAGAATTTAGAAACTGGAGAGAGCAGTGGTTTCCAAAGTCTCAAAGGCGTCCTTTCTCCAACTTCTTCTCATTTTCCCTTCCTGGCCCATAACTACAATTTTTTTTGTCATAATGTTTTTGGTTTTCCCCTTACCTCAGCTTTCAAGAAAAGTCATTTGAGACATTCCTCTCCAAGCCCCACTGGAGAGCCCCTCAGATGCTCACACTCCAGTCCCAGTTTCCGCCAGTCTGCCTTTCAGGAGGGCTCAGCTGCGGAGACCCCCAGAGTGAATCGCCGACCCGCGCGCGACTTACCGCTTCACGCAGGGGTAACGACGCGAGACCGGGAGAGCTGACGGCCCAGGCGGGCCGCGGCTCCTTTAACGGGCCCCGCCCCTCTCCCGCCCGGCGCGGCTGGCGGTCGGCGGCGGCCGCTACGGTGCTGACAAGATGGCGGCTGGCGGGGCTGTGTCTGCGACGCCCGAGTGCCGGCTTCTGCCCTACGCGCTACACAAGTGGAGCTCCTTCTCCTCCACCTACCTTCCTGAGTAAGTGCTTGGCCCTGGGCTCGGGCTGCCCTACTCCTCGGCGTAAGCACGGCTGGCCAGGGGGGCTGTGGAGGGCAACCACGTCGAGAGGCCCAGGCGGGGCCTGGTGAGGGGGATGCGCGGCCTCCGGAGTCTCAGTCCAGCCGCCGAGAGCGTTGCCCGCCCCCGCCTCCGGGAGGGGTTAGGATCCAGGGTGTGAGATTTCGGTGGAAGGGGCAAGGTGTGTGGCGGGGCCGAGGCGCGTAGGACAACGGGGAGCCAGGTGATGCGGCGGCCGGGGTTGGGGGTTGAGAAGGGCTTGGGGGCGGGCGGCTCACGAAGGTGGAGCAGGAGTTGGGGCTTTCGGGACCGGACGGCGGGCAAACTGGTGAGGATGTTTAAGGGCGTCCGAGGTGGTGGGAGACGGGACGGTTCAGTCGATTGCTGCCGGGACAAAGTGTAAAGCTGAGAAGAGTGACTGTTCCTGGGGGAGGGGGGTGGTGGTCATTAAAAGCGATTAGTTCCAGTGGAGTGGTAAAAGTCACCGACGGCTGAAGAGTTGTGGAACCTATCTGTGCAAGTGGGGAGACGTTGTAGGATTTGCGGAGGGTATCTTTTCCGGCTGGTAGTTCTGAAAAAGAGAGTGGGCAGGAGGGACATTACAGAGGAGTTCCTCTGTATGATGGCTCAGAGCATGGATTTATGTAGACACAGATCAGTTTCCCAGCCCAGAAACTCAGTTATAGACAGAAAAGTGTGACTTTAATGAATTTGACTTCCAACACTCGTTTGGTCTGCATCCCCAATTTAGGTGTTGAAAAGAGTTCCAGTGCGTTACAGAAAAACCGTGCCTTTTTTCTGTAGCATATTGCTTCTGAAATGCTGACAGTACTTTCATTCAGTATTTGCTTATGTCTGAGAGAAGCAGCAGATCGAACTCCGCTTTTACATACTGATAGAGAAACTGGCTTAGTAAAGTTTTAAGATCTGTGCAGACCCTGAAGAAAAGTGCTAGCTGTCCCCCGGACCGTCATTTTACAAGTCCAGGAATGATTTTATGAACAAAACAAGTTAAAAATAATATATTTTTGTTACTGAACAAAGTGACTAGATATGTGACGCATACTCAGAAGTCTTCCACCTATATTTCAAAAAGTCTTCACATTTTCTCCAATTTGATTTCTCTGGTCAAATCAGTCAGAAATCTAAAATTGGAGCTGTGAGTAGGAGAATCTAACTCTCTTGACTGCCGTTGTCCTATTCTCCAGGTCAAGGGTTGGCAGTCGGGCCTTCAGTAGGATGTGAAGTTCAGTGAGGGGTGCCAGGTGACCTGTGACCTAATATGGCCTGTGTGGCCTGTTGATGGCTGCTGTATGGCTGTGTCCCTGATTGATGCTGGCATCCAGCTTTTAATGTGAGAGTGAACCAGGTAAACATTCTAGCTCTCAGCTGGAGTTGAAATGTGGCCCTAGGTACTTGACTTCTGATTTTCAGGGCTTAACAAATTGAGTCTGAAGGTAATCAGAATTTTTCTGTACCCAGGTTAGGATCATAGATAGTTGGGAACTGGAAGGGCATTGTTTGATCTAATAACTCTGGAGATATTTTCCTGGTCTTAAGTTAGACTACTTCCAGGGTTTCACTCCTTAAATTTCTGTCGTAGGGGTGAGACTTGGATATCACAAGTCCCATCCGAGTTATGAATGAAAAAGAAAGAGTACATTTCAGTCAGGAAATGATTTAGTGGGATGGCAACTTTACTTTTTTTTTTTAACATCGGAGTATAATTGCTTTACAGTGTTGTGTTAGTTTCTGCTGTATAACAAACTGAATCAGCTATATGTATACATGTATCCCCATATATCCTCCCTCTTGCGTCTCCCTCCCACCCTCCCTATCCCACCCCTCTAGGTGGTCACAAAGCACCAAACTGATCTCCCTGTGCTATGTGGCTGCTTCCCACTAGCTATCTATTTTACATTTGGTAGTGTATATGTGTCAGTGCTACTCGCTCACTTCGTACCAGGTTCCCCTTCCCCCTCCCCGTGTCCTCCATTGACAGATGAATGGATAAAGAAGATTTGGCACATATATACAGTGGAATATTACTTGGCCATAAAAAGAAACGAAATTGAGTTATTTGTAGTGAGGTGGATGGACCTAGAGTCTGTCATACAGAGTGGAGTAAGTCAGAAAGAGAAAAACAAATACCATATGCTGACACATATATATGGAGTCTAAAAAAAAAAAAAAGTTTCTGATGAACCTAGGGGCAGGACAGGAATAAAGAGGCAGCTTTACTTTGACTTATGTCTCGTTATCCTGGTGCCAGATTTGAAGTGGGCAGCATTCTAGTTTTGGAGTTAGAAGGCAGCCGTTTGAAATAGGAGAAATCTGTTGTTACGGTTTTCTCAAATATATTTGTAAACTAGTATTTAGTGCATATTTAACTCTCAAACACTTTCATATACAGTGTTTTTAGTCTTTATAATATTCTGTTGACTTATCCAGTATAGTTTTTATTTTAAAGCACTAAAATATTATAATAGAGGAGTAATCTGAACTTTTTCTTTGAAGGAGTATAGTTGAGTATTATGGAGCTTGAGTTTGAGAGTTTTGTGTCTGCTGGATTGGTGTGTGCCATGCCTGGTCTTCTAATTGCAAGTAAAGATGGCACTGAACTTCTATTAGCAAGTGAGGATGTTATAACTTTGTATAATAGGAAGTGTGAGAAAGGGATTGACTTTACTTACTTTTGCCCTAAAATCCTAACAGCAGTTGCTGTATCTTTACTGGCAGCGACAGTCATGTTAAAGTACTTTTTTTTTTTTTTTTAAATTTATTTTTGGCTGCATTGGGTCTTTGTTGCTGCGCGCGGGCATTCTCTAGTTGAGCCGAGCGGGGGCTGTGCTTCTTTGCGGTGCGCGGGCTTCTCGTTGCGGTGGCTTCTCTTGCTGTGGAGCACGGGCTCTAGGCACACGGGCTTCAGTAGTTGTGGCGCAAGGGCCTAGTTGCTCCACAGCATGTGGGATCTTCCATGACCAGGGATCGAACCAGTGTCCCCAGCATTGGCAGGCGGATTCTTAACCACTCCGCCACCAGGGAAGTCCTTAAAGTACTTCATAAACAGGCATAATTTTAAGTAAAGCCTTTTGTTGAAATTGTCTACAGAATAGCAAATATTTATTGATTACAAGTCACTGATCCAGGCATTTTGAGGGGATAATAGTAAAGCAGTAACAACAATGGGAAACATTTATAATGTGCCTTGCATTTGCTAGGCTCTCTTATGAACACTTAAGTGTATTATCTCATTTAATTCTCAAAACAGTTATATGAGGAATCTTCATTTTCCAGCTGAAGAGACAGGGAGATGTTAAAACTTGCCTCAGGTCACACTGCTGGACGGAATCAGGATTTGAACCCAGGTCTGACTCCAGATTCTGTGATCTTAACTGTAGAGCTGATCTGCTTCTGCACAAAGGTGGAGACAGGAATTCAGAGATTTGAAAGAGTTCTTGTGTTAAAGGCACTTACATTTTAGTTGTGAAAGACATGAAGTCATGAAAAAAAGAAAAATTCGGATCTCTATTTTTTTCTCCTGCAGACTTAAAAAACGTTTTCCTTCTCTCAAAGTCAGAAAAGAACATTTTCACTTCTAACCCTTTTAGATTTATTTGGACTTTAAAAATGTTAAAGCAGATCAAGTTATAGATAACACATTTTTATTTTGAAACTAATGAAGTGACCTTTTATTTTTCAGTGTGGTTAAAAAAGTTTGCTTGTATTTTACTTTTTTCTGAAGTTTACAACTAATTTGGGAATTACGAGAAATGTGTCTATTTAAATGATGATTAATTCTTAGAATTACATGTACTCTTATATGTAAAAATATTTTTTAAACTGCTAATCTCTGTACTCAAATGTTTATTGCTCTAGCTAATAGTGATACTAACTACAATTTATGGAGCACCTACTGTGTGCAAGATGATTTTCGTATATAGTTTTACCTAATCCTTACAACAAACCTACAAGATAGGTATTGTATCTATTTTGTATACGAGGAAACTGAGGTCCATATAGGTTAAGTAACTTACCCAAGGTCATTTAGTTTTCAGGAGGCCTGGCAAGTTCTCAGACTTAAAAACTCTTGCGTGTGCCTCTAGTAACAACCACCGCTTGAGTACCTTCTATTTGTCAGGCACCATGCTTAGGACTTAGATTGTGTTCTTTTGATTTCGTATTTATAAAAACTCTATGGTAAATGTTATCATTCACTTTTACAGCTAGGGAAACTGAGGTTCAGAGAGGTAAGTTAAATTGTCCAGGTCTAAGAGTTGAAAGGGTAGGAGATAGGACTCTGATCTTGGACCTCCTGACTTCTGTTATCAAAGAAGAATACTGCTGCTTCTGTATTTTACATGGGTGTAGTATGTTCCTAATTGGGAATACAGATAAAAAGTGCTATAAGGTGAGAATGGAGAGAGGGAAAGATATTTAGATATATTTTATCTCGACATTTAAGGTTTTAATGTATTAATATAAAAATTGGGAGGACCTTTGAAAGTATATTTACACATTAGGTAATTTTATTGTTGTAGAATGATCCTTCTTTTGTTTACGTGTTAGTGAAAGACTTCATTAGTTTAGATAGTAAAATTGGATGCATTTTTAAGTGTTTACCTTTTTCCTGTTAGTCTATTTTATTACTTAAAATCAGACATTAATTAAAACTGTACCTTTGTGAATATGTGATTCATGGTTCAGAGTAAAAGTGATATAATTTGACAAGTAGGTTAGGAGGTGAACCTATTTCAACTATTTTAAAACTCCACATTTAAAAGTGAATATATATTTTTTCTAATTGCCAAAAAACCCCACCCTAAGTTACTTGAGGAATATTTGCAAAATATAGACCCACAGAAGCAAAATTTAAATTACCCTTAATCCCACCACCAAAAGATAACTAATCACCCTGTGATATATATCATTCCAGGTATTCTGTTGTGTCTATATCTATT